ATCAGTGGGAAAAAATACGGAACTGCACTGAAGTTGTATTCGTAGGTTGACACTTCGTTTAGTGCCTTCTCGCCTTTGGTTACGTAATCTTGTTACCTTTTTGCGTTTCCTCTAGTGGTTATATTGCACTTGTATCTTTGTTGTTATTTCTAACACCTTTCTATTTACAGTACTTAACTTCAGTTTCTTTGGTTGTATCCTTAGTTCCGTATTTTTTCCCACTGATGATAGGAACAAGGAAATCGATTATGGGTTTTCAATAATATTTTTGTTATAAAATACACAGTTAATACATGTCAAACAAGTAACGTAGTTGCGTGATGTCTGCGGCCTTCATCCTATCAAGAGTACATTACTCTTGATCCTATTCATAGCCATTAATAAATAAATAAATAAATAAGAAGAAAACGTCATTATACGCTGTCTTGAAGAGTAGAGGCTCTAGTCTAACCGACGTCCGTGCATGCTAACCGGCATCAAGTCTTTATCAGTTTATGCCACGCCGTCGCCGGTCGCGCTGGGCTGTCCTAGACTTGCGAACGCTGGTATGTGAACCGGTGAAGGTCGACTTGCTTCAGCAGTTCAGGCGATCGGATTTCATTGAGCAGCATGCACTGAGGTCAGTGAGGAGTCTGTCTACCATGCCATGGCCTACACTCTGCTGGAACGTGTTTCCCGTGTGCACCCAAGCCAAGTAACTATTACTTTATAATTATTAGGGCGCGTTCGTCTTCATCAACTGTTCAAACAAATTTTATAAAGAGATTAGTTGATGTGTCCCATTAGAACGGTTTCTATCATTTTAGAGTTTTTCACTTTCAGTGGAATTGTCATGGCGATGATGACGTCCGATCAGATCCACCATCTATTATAATAATAATAATATATCTCCACGTACTACGTGACGTAGCTATTCCAAACTCTTCGAAACTTTGTAATCCACCTTCCCATCGGATGGGATGAGTTTCGAGGAGTTTCGAGGAGCTTCGTTTTTCTGAAGAGGCCAATAAGGCCACCTCTTCAGAAAAACGAAGCTCCTCGAAAAGTCGAAGAGTGACAATTCGAACGCGCCCATTTCCAGCGATGTGCCGATGAAAATAATTATAGTGGACCGTGCTCAAATAATGAAAGAAAGCACTAGCCACTACAAAAATTGTAGTTGCGCAACCTAAAATCGCGTCCTTTTTTGATCCACCACGTGCTTTCTTAGTGCGCATGCGCAAAGCGATGAACTCAAAATAAGAGACGGGGTCTCTTATTCGGGCATGGTCTACTATTTTTCCGTAAGGCCTCTAGGAGGGTCTACTATTTGAGCATGGTCTAAGGAAATACGGTATTAGTATTACCAAGAGTACATAACCCCAAGAGTGTGCAACCGAGAGGCGCACTAGAGGGCAATCATTCTCTTCACTTTCTTTGCCCGCTGCTACCACTAGATATGGCATGTTCTCTATTTCTTTCCTTGGCGCTGATAGGTGGAATTCTCTGCCTGTCTCGTGTCGTCAGGTTGAGCATCTATCCGTTTTTGTTTCGCTCTGTAAAGAGCACTTAGGGTTCCCTGTAACAAGACGGCAACGTCTGTAGGTCCTTCCCTATCAAAATATTAAATTCTACTACTACTTCTACTACTACTGCCTGCACAACCTCTATGCTGTGCTGCGACGGCAGAACTTCACATCATGTGACATGGTTCAAAAGGTTATGCTGGCAAACAGTGCAAAGTGACCACAAGAGAGTTGTACCCAAAGCTGGGCTGCATACAACCCAGTATCTATCATGGTCATTGCGCTAGCGTCGGAGAAGGGAGCTTCTTCCTGGCTGACCTGTCGACCCTTGAAGCGGCATGGCTTGACCCTCACCATGGGTGAGTTCCGCGACGGAATCCACTTGCGCTACGGCTGGCTTCCACAGCGACTGCCATCATCTTGCAGCTGTGGAGCCACATTTTCAGTCGCTCACGCTTTGTCTTGCCCCACAGGGGGGTTTCCGTCGGTGCGGCACAATGAGGTGCGTGACCTCACTGCCCATATGCTGAAGCGAGTGGTTCACAATGTCTCCGTGGAGCCCCACCTCCAGCCGGTCACTGGGGAGCAGTTCCGGTATCGCACCGCTATCCAGACTGAGCAGGCCCGTCTCGACGTTGCGGCAAGTGGCATCTGGGGTGGCCGGTTTGAGCGCACCTTCATCGATGTGAGGGTTTCAATCCTCATGCGACCTCAAACCGCGCCACCTCCATTGCTTCCTGCTACACCAAGCACGAGAAGGAGAAGCGGCGCTGCTACGAGCAACGTGTCCGCGACATAGAGCATTCGTTGTTTGTTCCGGCCATATTCTCTACCACTGGTGGTTTGGGCAAACACGCGGAGTCGCTCTACAAGCGGATAGCTTCTCTTCAAGCCGCGAAGACTGGAGAAGCATACAGCTGTGTTATGTCTTGGGTTCGATGCAAATTGAGTTTTGCCCTACTCCGGTCCAGCGTGATGTGTTTGCGCGGATCCCGGAATCTTCGGCCGGTGCAGTTGGACTCACCTCCCACCTTGGCGGTTGCTGAGGCGGGCATTCGCATTTGATACCATTTGCCTCTGGTTTTGTCTGTATTGGCTTCGCCTGTGCTCTTTTCATCCTACTACTAGTAGTTTTCAGTCCGCTATCGGGCGGCTGCACTCCAGCTCTGCTTTGCATTTCTCTTAACTTCTTTTTCCTTTGACTTGATCATTGGTATTTACCACGTGATACTCAGTGATCCCCGTACAGACGTTTTCTGAATCACGACATACTTCAAATATCATGCACAGAGTGCACGGGTTCATCACGTGATGTGAAGTTCTGCCGTCGCAGACCCCATACTGGGCCATAGCTGGAGTTGCACACTCTTGGGGTTATGTACTCTTGGTATTACACATACCGGTACATGTACATGTACATGTACTTATAATACTGGTTTCGAACCAGTGTTTAATAGGTTTTAGAACGAGGTCTGTCTCGTTGTCCAGGAAACGACCAATCAGCGACATTCCCGCCAAGGGCCTTATCAGAGTTTAAAGCCCGCTCAATCGTTATTTTACTACTCTTGATGACGCGTCGAGGGCCTTGGATTAGTTTAAAGCCCGCTGAATATACTCTAAACTGGTGCGTACAACTCCCTGTATGCATAATAGTACGGTGCAGATAATGAACTCTGCATAACGTGTACGGTGTGCTACTAAAAGCTACGCAATTCAGAAGTGTGTACGGCTTTTGCCTCCCGTATTCTTTCATCTGTACGAATTTTCTTTGTCAACAGCTTGCGGAAACCTATAAAAAGCGAGGATCAAAGTCATTAGAGCTATCGACAAGGGGCTCTAAAAGCCCCTAAATAGCTCCACAAGCTACATACATGTATATGAATAAGAATGAAGCTCGCAATAAGAGCCCAGCATTTCATTTGCTTCCATTCTACTTTTAGTAGTCCTAAGTGGTGCTGAGTTACCATAACTTACCAGAAGAAAATATTCTTTCATACCACACCAAGTCTCTCTGCACACAAACCACAAAACTACCCCATATATTGGTACACAAGCATAATGGAAGTGAGATAATGCATGTAACCTCGTTCTAAAATAGTTAGTGCATGGCAGGGAGGGTCTTATGGCTTGTTTGTGCCCTTCAGGTTAGCCCTCGGGCCTACGGCCCTCAGGCTAACCTGTCGGGCACTAACAAGCCATAAGGCCCTCCCTGCCATGCACTAACCTATAAATAAAACACCATACATGTACTTGTACTGTCTGTAAGTTGTAGTTCGTGAGTAGGCATATGCGGATAATGCCGGCAGAAAAAATGGCAGAATTCGGTACTGTTTTTGGAAAGTTTCATGCATGTTTGTTATGTGAATAAAGAAATGGAGCAGAATTCGAGGAATTGCCCGCCATAAGGTTTGTATGGTTCTGCCAATTTCACTGCTTTTCGAGCAGAATCTGCCAACTTCTCGAGCATTATCCGCACACCCCTATTCGTGAGCCAATGAACGCAGTGGATTCCGTTCCTGCCCGTCGTCTAGTGACGACGGGCAGTGGAATCCGTTCGACGTTCCTGCCCGTCCTCACTTGTCGACGGGCGGTGGATCCAGTTCCATCACCTTTGAGCAGGCAGGACCACGCTTTCCAGCCGACGCAATTTGATCTGTCATTGGTCGACGCCAAGGCGACAATCACTTGACATACGGGAATCCACAATCACGTGGCATTGGTGACAATGCCAATGACAATGGTCTACTGCTAATGTAGCGGGCCGCAGTCTCTCTCGGAGGCAAATGCACACGGGTCTCAGTGAACGCACTGTTGTTAACTTTATTATCACGAAAGACTGGATTGAAGGTTGAACTCTAACTCTAAACTGACATGTCTAACTGGCATTTCTAACTGAACTGCAGAGAATTGTGAACAGCAGCTTTTATAGGGTGAGGAACTGTTCATGTAAGTAAGCCAAGCCAAGCTATGACCAGGGGATACGTAGAGCAGAAGAAGAAAGGTCAAAGTAAGATGTGTGGGCCACAGTCATTGCACAAGGAATGCTATTTGGTTCTATGCAGAAGAAGGAGCTGAACAGCGGTGTGGGCAATGGGCGTAAAAGAGGCGGTTGAAAGTGCAGCAAAAGGTCTAGAGTAGTATTTCTAAGGTCAATATAATTATTAAAACAGTTACATTGAACGCAGTGAGACTAGTTACTAGTAGTACTATCCATGTCATGGATCTGCAAGCACGGTATAGAGTTGCAAGTGCGGGGTGCGGTGCGGTGCAACACGCGTGACCAATACATTGAAAGTGATTCACGCTGCAGCTGTGTGTGTGTTACTAGCGTGCCAACGCTACACTATGAGTACCAGCTGCCTACCAGGGAGTCATTTAAAAAATAGTTTTTTTTAAACTGTGAAAACACAAGCAACATCAAAGAGAGAGAAAGGGGAGTCATTTAAAAAAATATCTAATTCACTTTACGACTCCCTGGTGGCGACCAAGCACTGCTCAGAAAGACGATCCAGGCTGAGTGAGAAACTCCAATTCTTCTGCTGTCGACTTGCGGCCCAGTAGCGCATCGCGATGTGGAAATTTGCCAAAGCGCTCCACTATGTACTTATGCCTTATAGCTAAGTCGAGCGAAGCAGCAGGAGCTGCTCCGTTTGTGTCACACTCAGCACGGTAGAGTTGGACGCACCTGTGCTGATCACTCATTTCCTCACTGTGCATGAATGGCAAGAAAAAGAAACTTGCACGTGGTACTGGGAGGCACCTGTGATAGTCCTGTTCTAGAGCATGGCTGGCCACGGCCAACGCCAACACATCATTGACATACATATCGCCTGAGCCACGGAACATGTTCCTGGAAAACTGATCCAGAATAATAGTCAGTGCCAGGCATGACTCAACACCATCTTTCCAGCAGTCCAATTGTCCAGCACTTGCCTGATCGTGCAACTGGCTAAACTTAGCGCGAATCTTCTCATCTAACTCCGGATTCACTTTGAAGTGCTCCTCAGGAGCTAGAGAAAACCAGAAATCCAGGACATCCTCGGGCGTAGTGGCTGGAGAGGACATGGTATCGGCAATGAACTTCTGTTGAAGAAAATGACGCAGTTGTTGCGACGGGCAATCCTCTAGGACTCCAACTCGATGTCCGGTGGAAACTATCCGAAATGAGGGACTTGCTTGCGAACAGAGTGGACAGTCCAGGCTGAGATTCGGGGGTTGAATCTCACAAACATGTTCTCACAATGGTTCTCAAATAGGGTTCTGAGTCACAATGGTTCTCGAACGGACCTGTCTTTGGTTTTATTACAATTCAATCCTATTCGCGCTCGCCCGGAGGCCCCTAGCTACAGAATCTTCTGTCCATGTATTCAAGAAAGAGCTGCGCAAACATTCTTGTCAGTATTCAGGTCTACTCGCTGGCATGCCGTTACCCTGTTCATCGTAGTCCCCCCCCCCCTTCCCAACCTGTTCTCTCTTGTACCATCATCCTTCAATGCGACGGACCCCACGATAGGCGGTCAGCCTTTGGGTCATCCTAATAAAGTTATTATTATTATTATACATACTGTGAGCATTCCGCTACCCGAGGTCCAGCTACACACCTGTTGACTGTTCCATGTTTGCCTCGACAATGAGGTGGCACCATTATAGTGGAGCGACCATTGCATGTTATGCATTTCGCAGTTGCTGCTTCTGCCAGTATTGAAATGCTGCTACCCAGTGGCTAACATTCGATCCACTGAAGACCGCTGTGCATTCAAACAAGGCAGTGCTCTCTCTCTCTCTCTCTCTCTCTCTCTCTCTCTCTCTCTCTCTCTCTCTCTCTCTCTCTCTCTCTCTCTCTCTCTCTCTCTCTCTCTCTCTCTCTCTCTCTCTCTCTCTCTCTCTCTCTCTCTCTCTCTCTCTCTCTCTCTCTCTCTCTCTCTCTCTCTCTCTCTCTCTCTCTCTCTCTCTCTCTCTCTCTCTCTCTCTCTCTCTCTCTCTCTCTCTCTCTCTCTCTCTCTCTCTCTCTCTCTCTCTCTCTCTCTCTCTCTCTCTCTCTCTCTCTCTCTCTCTCTCTCTCTCTCTCTCTCTCTCTCTCTCTCTCTCTTCCATTATTTTGATGTTACAGGTCTACCGGAATGATCACTGGCTGTGCTGTTTTGACATGCACACACACATACATACTAGTAATCATAACCCATGTTGCGGAAATTATCCTATTATAAGTATTAGTATCAAAAGGACATAAGAGTTCCTGTGGCATTCCGAAGTGCTTCCACTTGGACTCCCTGGCATCGCGCTCTGCTGCAGGTGCGGCTATAGAAAGCTGTTCGATGCATAATGTCTATGGTAAGCTGTACGATGCCCCCCCCCCCCTTTGCTTTTGACTGCATGCGAGCGTCATGTACATGTAGCTAGCTGCAAGCCTTTTTCGTCAAAAAATGCTTCAGTGGTTCTTTTTTCCGCGACACTTCTTGACTCGTACCTAACCTCCGAAGTGACCTCCTTGACTGAAATTGGTGGCAGAGTGGACGACACCATACGAATCACGAAGAAGTGTTAATTAATTGGTTCTGAAACTTCTGGCCGTTCGGCTAATCGATCCCAGGTTTCCCTGGCTGACCCTGTTCTACCATACCCACTGTACATGTACATGTCCATGTACATCTATACTAGATTATGCACTCTTGCCAGTCTTGGTCATACCAAGAGCATGCATGTATAAGTCCCCAGGGCATTATACTCCGTACGTGTACGGGTGTGTTCTTCGCCACCGTGGCGTTGTCCAGGACTCGTTTGGTTCGCGACAACGGTTTCCAGACGTCGCCATCCTCAACAGTTTGATTGATCCTCGACTTGATTGCGACTTGATTGCTAGACCTGTATTTCTATCAGTACTAAATTAAAATGTTGTGCAAGAGAAAAAGACATATGGATACGAGTTAAGAGTAACTCTCCATCACTGTAACATGATACTATATACAGTCAGAAAGTGCAATAACTAGGCACAAAACTGACAGAGTACTGAAACATTCGACGTCCTGACACCTAGCTTCAACACATCTCCGTAAAATGTTGTGTTGTTTGTCGATGAGAAAGAGCATACACCCTCGGTAGGCTGCATATGCGGCTAATGCCGGCAGAAAAATTGGCAGAATTCGGTACTTCTTCTGGTAAGTTTCATGCATGTTTGGTATGGTATTTTGGATAAAGAACTGGAGCAGAATTCGAGGAATTGCCCGCCATAAGGTTTGTATGGTTCTGCCAATTTCACTGCTTTTCGAGCATTATCCGCCCATGCCTAACCCTCAGTTGTGAGGATGTATGGTTATACTTATGCGCACCTTGCCTGCTTCTCGGCTAGGTTTTCGCGCTAGCTGCTCACAATTTCTTCTTGGGCACCCTATGAGAAGGCCATAGGCCTGTTGGGTATACCCAAGTAAAATAATAAATACTACTACCAAGAGTACATAACCCCCAGGGGGTTACATGTAGGTGTGGTTTTATTTGAATTCGCAAGTACACACACGGGCTACAAGCCCAATTACATGGAAGCGAATGCCATAATGAGGCCAATTAAGAAAAAGGGTGGAGGAAGGAGGAGGACGGTACATGCATGTACTCTTGCTACTACTGTACATGTATTAACGCCTCTTGTACGGGCAAAAATAAATAGATCGTGAAATCAATAGTGATGAAAAACAACAACGCAAAGAAAAGGCAATCAGAACACAATGTCAAATCATTAGGTCGCTGAATGTCTCAGTAGCCGGTCAGTGTTGTGCCCTGTTATCGCACGTACTGACCGTTTATTATTGTTACAGTCGTGGATAGTTGCTTCATAAATCGTTTCCATGTGTATTCTTCTTCTATTTTACAATGTCTATCATCCGTCTAAGCCGTGGCAGCCAGGGTACGAGGTGGTTTGGCTTTTTAACATGTTTGTAAAATGTCACTTTTTCATCAACTTCTAGCAAAGCAATGTCAAACTTTTTTTGTGGCAAGTGGAAGTAGCATCCTTCTTGCCCATTGTGTCCAAAAATGGGGACGATCCATTGAAGGAAAGTTCCCAAGATCACGCCCTGCTTTCATGGTGTTCACACCCTTGAACAAGTAGGTGTGTCATTATTTGACATTGTGTAAAATATCATCACAAACCAGGCTAACCATGCATAAATGTGTTGAAGTTGATAAATATTACTTCAATAGCTGGTACTACACCAATCTAGCTTGAAATAACCAATACAATCAGAAGCAGGGCAGCACGAGAGCTCATTCCGCACGCCCCGATACAAGCCTCTGGGTCATCCTAATAAAGATATTATTATTATTATTATTATTTTAACTGGTTTGAGGGAAAGAGACAAACGGGAAAAGTATTATTATTATGCTATTACAAGGGAGTAGTAAAATGCCGGTATTTTACTAATCCTTGCTACTATGCAACACAAATCAAGTCAGTCATGCAGATCCAGCACTCATAAGAGGACCACCAGAAAGATACAAATCAATAAGGTCTTCATCAAAAGCAGACACCCATAACTGTTAGTCTGCAGTAACAAAAACTCAACCAGCTCAAATGGGAAAGAAGAATCACCGTGACAGTTAATTCCGAAGAACGAACATGACTCAAAAGTCAAAACACACACTTTCTGCAATCAAAGCAGAGAGTGCATAATAAAAGATAAAATCAAATCGTACGTCAAAGCAATTCCTGCTCATATATGTGCCAATGGGGAGCAAGGCATGCAGAAAAAGAAGGGATCCGATTCCGATCGGGCCATGGAAAAGATATAATGTAACACGACCAATACAAGCACGAAACAATAAGAGCAAGAAGGATAGAGACTGATTTACGCGGTGATACATATGGAAGGAATCCTCACATAATAATAATAATAATAATCTTTATTAAAGGATCTCCCAGAGGCGATGGCCTGTCGAGGGGATCTCCTGATGCAAATCATGCAATAGAAATAAACAGTGAGGAAAACTACACGTGTTACAGTATATGCTACATAAATTAGCAACTTCTAAGTGGTTGTTGTTGTTGTTGTTGTTGTTGTTGTAGAAGTTTATTTAACGTCGCACCACAAACAGGCGATTTCGCCTCCTTGTTGTCTTGGTAATGTCGGCTGTTATGAAAACTGCAAACACCAAACACATGGACATGCACCGGTAAGTAAATATAAAGTAAATTACTATCGTGTCCGTTCCCGAAAAAACTCACGACGGTCGCTAACACCCGGTAAACCCTGCACAGGTAGATACGGGGTTATCAACTAAACATGTACAATTACTTGTAGTTATAGTCAGCCGCACACAGAGTAGAAATGCACCTACTCTTATACAACGACTTTCGAAACCAGTGGAGGTCAGCCTAAAAAAGCCCAAAGGAAAGTCTGCTGTTCCACACTTTAAAAATAATTCCCAAAGGAAGATAGAAAGTTCTGCAACATACTGTGACATACCCGATGAGGCACACTATTAGCCACTGCGCATGCGTGCTATTACTGCCGCGGTGCTAGCGGCGGTCTACGACCTATGACACTTGTTGCATGCTGCACTCTGAGCAAAGCCGAATACAAACAAAACAAACACAATCGTTCAAATAGGGTGTTCATACTAACAACTGAGCAGAACGAATTGCTTCATGTGTTGTGCAAACTTGAACCCTAATTTAGAAACCATCCTGCCCCCCCCCCCCCCCACACACACACACCAAAACAAGCTAGACTACAATTATTATGAAATCAAGTCATTCAACTAGCAAAACGCATACCTCGATGTCAGTCCATGTGAAGCCTGTGGCGATGCTAGCGGCGGTCTAGGAGATGCTGTTGACATCCGTGATGTGCCAAGGTACATACGAGTACGTGGAGATATGCTGAATTGGATGACAACACAGGGCTGCTATTTGCATTAATTTTTATTACCAAGCCACTTACCATGCTTACAGTGGCTGAAGCATCGGCTGCAGGTGCTGAAGTCGGGGCATGCAGTGTGTAAGTTGCAGGTGTCCACGGGCCGAGATGACAGAGGACTGGGTGTTGCTAGCGGAGAACTGCATGATAAGTCCACTT